CTTAAGTTCACTTCTTACTTCTACTTGTGATCCAGTGTGGTCATAACAGTTCCCACTGCTACTACTGTTAACTGCTGTCATCGTCACTCGTCACTTTTAAAGTCTTTATCATCCTTTTTGATTAGAGTCCTTCTGAGCACTACAGTTTGTGCGTCAGGAGCCTGCTATCACTGGGAACCTCGTCACCTCGTCATTCTTGTCATTCTCAAACCTACCTTGTGCTACAATTAGCAAGGTAGTGCTCATCTATACTCGTTACTAAGCCCCTATCATCTATAAATTCAACTATCCCTCCTTCTCAAAACCCACACCCATACATCTCTGGGTTTTACTTTGAAGGATCTTCATACATACCACCCCACAAACAACCAGAGCACCCACTGTTTTAGGAGGCAAAGCCCATAAACAAGTTCCATGGAATCTGGGAGGATTGTTTGTTAGTTTGTTTTTGTGTGTGGTTTTCTAACAACATTTCTCATCATCGACATTGGGCCGTCATAAAGTACTCCAGGTTCTTATGATCGGTCCAAATTTCAAATTGGTGCCTAGCACCTTCTAAGTAGTGCCGCCAGTGCTCTAAAGCTCTAATGATGGCCAGCATCTCTTTGTTGTATATTTGATAGTTGCGCTCTGTAGGCGACAAACTATGCAATCAATAAGCACAAGGCCTCCAAAGATTGTCAGGGCATTTAATAGACAAAACAGCCTCAGTAGCAAAATCAGAAGAGTCGGTTTCTAGCCAAAACTCTTTGTCTAATTCTGGAAATGCTAACATGGGCGCTGTTGTGAATGCCTGTTTAAGCTTACCAAAAGCTTCTTGTTCTTTGGCGCCCCAATGCCAAACAATATCCTTTTTAGTGAGATTGTTCAACGGACTCGTGATTTTTGCAAAGTTTTCAATAAACCTTCGGTAGAAATTGCCTAAGCCAAGGAAGGCCCTAACTCCTTTGACGCGAGTAGGTTCTGGCCAATCCAATATAGCTTGAACTTTCTCAGGTCTATCTGATCGTCTGCCTATGATCATACTGAGAAGTCTACTTCTCCACTCTAAAATTACATTTTTGGGTTGACAATAGGTCCCGTTCATGTAGCGTCGAAGGATTTCTTGCACGATCCTGTCATGCTCAGCCTCATCGTCGACTTTGTAAATATTAATAAATTGTCAATGTAAATGATGACACAGTTCTCCATATCCGCAAAAATCTCGTTCATTATGCTCTGGAAGGTTGCCGGTGAGTTGGTCAACCCAAAGAACATAATAAGGGGTTTGAAGGATCCTTGGGGGCACGTGAATGTGGCCTTCCAAGCATCTTCTTCTTTGATGCGTACATTATTGTACCCCCATCTGAGATCCATTTTTGTAAAGATCTTGGCACCAGCCAACTTGTCTACTAGCTGACTGATCAAAGGCAGTGGATACGCATTTTTAACCATCTGCTCATTCACGTAACAATAGTCCATAATCATACGCTTCTTTCCATCCTTTTTAGGAATGAATAACACCGGGGACGTCATAGGGCGTTTGGAAGGTCTGATGTAACCCTTCCTAAGCTGCTCATCTATGAAACTAGAAACCTCATCTCTTTCTGGAGCAGAGAGTGGTATCATGTGTCCTTTTCTTGGTTTGAAGGTGTCTTCAAATCTATAGCATGGTCCCAAGGCTTAGCCTCTGGGAAGCGCTCTGATTTATGTTTAGAAAAGACTTTCCAGAAGTCATGGTACCCGGGAGGTACCAGCCTCTTAATCTCTTCCTCAGGTTTTACCTCATCATTGTCATTGTCAATCTTTTCTAAAGATCTGAGCTCATAAACGTGACCAGTGTTTATCTTTTTAAGACGCTCATCGTGATGGATGTGATTCGGCTTACCCAAGTTCACACATTCCTGAGGGCAACATGACAATGTGACAACCCCTGTCTGCCAGTCAATCTCAGGATTGTGTTTAAATAGCCAGGTCCAGCCCAAGGTTAAATTAATCTTCCCTAGTTGAGTAGCTTTGGCAGTGACTCATTCTCTGTGTCCTTGTTATTTGACAACAAAGGAACATTTGTGTGTGATGCAGCCATCTGCGTTGAGCGTACCGTCAACGTTATAGACGGGAATAGATACATCTAATTTTACAAGGGGGAGTCCAATCTGCTCAGCCCAGATCTGATCTATGAAGATTCCGTTAGTGCCTGAATCAAGCAGTGTGCTTGTTGGGTGTACTATGCCCTGGGCAAGGTTTTCTACACCAACGTCTAAACGGATCTCCTTTTGGAATAAATATGTGCACATCAACACACGCCTTGGGATTTTGGGGAAGGGTGGCTCCAAAGAAGAAGAAGTATCAAAAGAAACATGTTTTTCTATTTTATTTTTACCAGAATCAAGCACCCTAGTGTTTGTCTTGCCGGGGTCACGCTCCAAGGGAGATGCTGGTGCAGCGGTAGTGTCATAAATATTACAGTCACAATGCTTCATACAAGTACAAGTTTCAGATAACAAATTTAGAAATTTATTTACAAACTGGGGAGCCACCCCCGTCTTTCCTTTATTGCTCGTGCAACACCCTGGAGCAGGGGCCACCTTGTTGTGGTTTACTTCATTGTTTTGAGGAGCAAAGGCACCCGAGTGACCTAAGCTCTGAACTCTTTTCCCTGAGCCTTCATCTCAGCAACCTGTTGGTCATAGAGGAAAGCTTGGATTTTGTTGTACGAACAACCGGCCAAAGAGTTGAGCCGATTGTCCGGTTTTTCTGTTTCTAATTGGCGCGCCTGGTGCCCTTGGTTATTTTTTTGTTGGGTGGCCTGCACCTCGTTTCTACAATCTCGGGACATGTGTCCCTCTTGGCCACAGTTGTAACAGTTGCCCTTGAATCTGCGCATCTGTCCGCCTTGGACCGCGCCCATATCCATAGGAGCACCCTGCCCTGGCTGCAGCCCAAATGGCTTGAACCCGTGAGAGTGATTTTGTTTTTGGTTTGATGACCCAGGGCGCCTCTGGGATGAGTTGTTTTTGATGGTGGACCTGCCACCTTGGTGCATAGCGTAGAGCTCCATGGCTCTACCGACTTGTCGTACTTCCTCAGCTGCCAGGGCCAAGTTATTGCTTCTTGTATCCTGCAAGTAGATTTGCTCTGCAATGCGGGGGTTCACATTGCGCTGTCATGCACCAAAATTGATTGGTAGCATGGACAGGTGTCAATAACAAAGCGAATATTCGAAAAGACTCGCCTTTGCGCCACACAGGCACAGTGCCACGTGGAATAGTAATTAATATTGCCTGTTTCGAACTTGTGGCTGATCAGCACCACCTCTATTAGGCAATTCAGTCACGCTCACCTTTGCTTTTCCATTCGGTACTTTCCGCATTTTGGCATTTTGACAAATTTTTGCGTCGCCACTGGCTACGCATTGCATTGCGCCCTCGCTTTTGTCATTTCCTTCACTCCCCTTCCTTTTCTTAGCCCCACCATGGCCCCTTCCTCTCCTTTTTATTCTCACCTGACGGCCATTTCTGGATCCCCATTTTAGTTCACCTACTCGTCACCTCCACCCTCCTCCTCCTCATCTTCTTTGCTCCCCCACCATTTCTGATGTCACCACTTCCTATCCGCTTCCGTCGCCGATCCGTTGACTACCACGTGCCACTGCTGATATCAGCAAAGCCCTGGCGGCCGGTCCAAATAGGGCAACAGGTCCATCTTCATGACGTCGATCTGCCATCACATACTATCAAAACATCGGTCACTCGTCTTGCCTGGTTGGAGCGTGGGTGGGTAGTTTTTGAGCTGGAGAAGGTTCATCCCCTTGCGTCGCCCATGTTCATTGCTGTCCCATTCACTTGGGTACACTTATCTTTTGTCCATCGTCTTCGCTACAGCTACACCTACCACACACTGCCTGGGACTCACTTGTTCCAAATTGGAACTACTCCTCTCCCTCCCTCGTTTGATCAGGTGGTCCAACACAACCAGTCCATTGGTAAGGCCATGGAACTGTCGGATTTGGACTAGGTGGTGGACCGGTGGCTCCAGTTTCTTTTTTTTCAGCAGAACATTCATTTACAGTGCAATTATTTTTGATTTTTGAATCATTTTTATGGACACATATTTTTTTAGAATGCCTGACTGACAATAAAGGAACTGTGTTGATACTGATAGTGTTTTTCCTTGCCCTTTTTTTACTGCATCTTCCCATGACATCATGATTTTCTTGCTCTCTTTTTGCTATTGGACTTTACTTTATGGCTGTACAAACCTGTGACATTACTCACAGCATTCATTGTTCTATCCCTTTCTTTCCCTTATTTTGATGATCTTATCCTGTAGCAACTATGCAGGATTTGTCAGCGTACATTCCTTCCTTCATATTCTTTCTCATTCTTTTTGCGCAGCTATACTGTGCATAGCCTACCTTTCTTTTCACTATATAAACCCCTGTATTTTACCTTGTAAAAACAACAAAGATATCCAATCCAGACTTCTTCTCTACTCTCAAGTTCACTACTCTGCTACTTGTGATCCAGTGTGGTCACAACACTTCCCACTTCTACCACTGTTAACTGCTGTCATTGTCACTTCCCACTTTTGAAGTCATTGGTATCCCTTTCGATTAGAGTCCTTCTGAGCACTACAGTTTGGTGCATCAGGAGCCTGCTATCACTGGGAACCTCAT